CCTGCCTCTCACACACACACACACACACACACACACACACATAGCTAGCTACAGAGGCTGACAAGGCATTAATAAGCTAGCGCTAGTTAGCCAGCTAAAGAGAATTAGTAGGCAGAAGAAGGTATTAGAAGGCTAATTAATTAAAATGCTTTGCTTGCTAGAGAGGACAAGCTACTAATGTTCTAGCGCAAGCTAGCTAGACAGGACAAAGGATTACTGCGCTAATTTAACGTCACAAAAGACACAAAAATTCTTAATTAGCCATCTATTTCAACTTGTTACACATGACACAAGTAATACAGATTTTGTAATGTAATAAAACATCAAGTTAGATTTATTTTGTGAGGAAGAAGACACTCAGACTGTCGTAACTGCACTATTGCTTTCGGGCTGAGGGTGGTATTTCAAAATAAAAGTCTACAACGTTCATTGTACGTTAACAGGTAGGGGGTCTGGTGGACACTTTTCTAAAACTTTAAAAAACCTACACTGCCTATGACTGCACATTAAGAATAGTTTTCTTTCTTAATTATGTATTATTTATGAATATAAATATTGTTATTCATGTTATTGATAGCATTACTTATTATTGTTATTGTTGTTATTATTATTACGACATGCTTATTATTCCTACCATTGTGGCTATTACTTATTTAGTTACTTTAGCAATTTTAATTAAACCATGACCCTTCCTGCATTATCCCAGGACAATATTATGCCAAACTCCATTTAAGAAATACCATATATTAACAATTATTTGCGGTTACATAATAGCACATAACTGTAGAAACACAAGAAAAAAACTCATCATATCTCAACAGTCTTCCTGTCACTTCGGCAAAAATATAATACATAAATACAAACTTTTTGGCCGACTTTGTCGCATCAACTCATTACCAGCCTCACTATTTCAGTGGGAGAAGATTGTGGCAATAGATGGAAAAAACAAGATGTGTCATTAAAATACGTGGTTGTTAGTGGATCATGCATACGCCGAATTAAACACAGGTGTCTCCCCTCATTGTACTGTAAACTACTCGGCAGTGTCACTAATGTATGGGCCAGTGTCACGGGCCAGAGCAAGGCACATTAAAAATTTCTTTAGGAATTTTCTAGTTATCTATATTATTTGTTTGTGTCCATAATAAATTTAGAGTTTCCTGCCAATGAAATCGTGAGGTTCCTGGTGGGTTTCACCAACAAGGGAAGTCAGGACTTCACCATCCAGTCGCTGGAGGCCTCCTTCCGCTACCCCCAAGACTTCCAGTTCTACATTCAGAATGTAAGTTTGATCTGAAATAGAAACGACAGGCAAACATCGCTCTACCTGATCAAAAAGTACTCTAAACATGGGTGTCTTAAAGTAAATAATATGTTTTTGTGATGTGGTTGTTAAACTATTAGTTTTTTAACATTTGATTTTGATGTCATCTCGTAGATTCCTATATTTCTATTTCTGTTTTTCATTTATTTTGTTACTCTTATGTTTTGCCATCTGTTTTTGCCACTTAACGCATTAAAAATGAACAAAAACTATTTACCGTACGTATCTCAGTGTTTTTAATGATGTATGTTTTGTGTAGTTCACAGCTCTGCCTCTGAACACCGTAGTGCAGCCCCAGGCTCAGGCCTCCTTCGAGTACTCCTTCATCCCAGCTCAGCCCATGGCAGGCCGTCCATTCGGCCTCGTTATCCTCCTCAATTATCTCGACTCTGAGGTAAAAAAGGGTTTTTCATTATTTCTAGAAAAATATTGGTGGTTGGTGCTTGAGGTCTGTTCTGGCTGAGTTTTCAGAGAATAGATGTGGTGGGATGATGTTAGACGGTGACTGTCAGGATGCTCCACAGGAAGGTTTTTTCACAGCCCACCTCAAATTTGGATGATTCATGAAAATTACAACCTGAAGGAATCCATTGTCAGCAAAGCAGTTTGTCTTTATGTAACGGCTGTATTTTTTCCCATTTTGGTATAATTGGCACTACTGTGTCTCCTGTCTGTCATTATTCTCTACCTGCTGAGCTTTGACTGTTGTTTCTGTGCTGTTAATGAATGATGTGATAAATGCTGAGTCATATTGACATTCTGATACTTTTAACAAAGTTCTTGAAAGGTCAAGGTACTTGCTTACTACTTTCTCCTTTTTGTTTCTTCTTCAGGGTAGCGTGTTCCAGACTGCCATTTACAACCAGACTGTCACCATCACTGAGCTAGAAGAGGGTCTGGACGGAGAAACGTAAGGCTTTCTTCTACTGGTTTTATGTTTTATCTTCAATCGTACAGACTGTACATATTATTTAAAATGGAAGGCCACAAACTATAGCGTAGCACTAAAATAATAAATCACAGTAGGTAGTGGGTGGATGTATTAAACCAATTTTTGCACCTCAGGTGTATGTAAATTGTGTGTAATTATTTTGCCCACTTATTACTTATTTTCCACGTCCCTTAAGGCTACTTCGAGCTCTCTGCAGCTTCACATTACCAGCTCCCCCAGTCGATTTCAGCACATGTAAAAACCTGTAAAAGGAGGTGTGAAATTGGCACAAAGAGATCAGTTGTCAGAATTGGGCTGCTGGTGCAAGATACAGAAACCGTCAACAGCAAATTAATCAAGAGAAAGAAATGTTGTTTTCCATTCTTTAAATCTCAAAACAGATAAGAACATTTTGCAGTTACAGGTCACTAGAAGGTCATTTTAGGACACAAAGGCGCCACTTTTGTTGGACTTTATACTAAAAAACTGCACTTATAATGATGAAGGACCTATTTGTTTGAATAGCGCTATTCTTGTGCACTAATAGGAGAGGTCAGAGAAATGTTTTCATACCAACATTTAACTGTTTGTTTTCTGCAGAATGTTCATGTACATCTTCCTGGTTGGACTGGTGGTCCTGATGCTCTTTGGGATGTACCAGGTCCTGGAGACGAGGACGGTATGTGTTTGTCTTATATCAGCTGTTCTATATTTTATGTTACAGTATGTTTGGTCTAAATAAAATAAATTATTCCCTCTTCTGCTAATGCAAGTCTAATCAGATATATTTGTGTGATGATAGCTCACCTGCTAGAGCTGGTGCCCCACGTACAAAGGCTGAGCCCTTGCTGCTGCGTGTCATCCTCTCTCTCTCTCTCTCTCTCTCTCTCTCTCTCTCTCTCTCTCTCTCTCTCTCTCTCTCTCTCTACTCCCTTTCCTGTCTATCTTCAGCCGTCCTATCTAATACAGAGAAAACGTTTATTTATATATATGTATACCTGTGTGTGAAGTCAACAGCAGCAAATGTGATAGAGTGCGCATTAAGGGGTGTCATCCATCCTCATTCCTGTAAAATCTCTCTCCATAACTGAAATTGAAGCAGGCTCATGGATTAAATTGTTTAAAAATTTGACATGTTTTAACCTTTGTTTTTGCAGAAAAAGAGAATCCCAGTGAAAATAGAGAAGGGCACCGGGGGAATGAGCGATGTGGACATCAGCTGGATTCCTCAGGAAACTCTCAATGTCATGAGTATGTTCATTTTTATAGTAATAATATAGTCAAAACAGTTGTTTTGAAAGGTGATATTTTGCTCATATTACTGTTACTCAACAGAAATATCTGATCTTTACATCCTGTCTTACAGACAAGGCGTCACCTAAAGCATCTCCACGGAAACGAACCAATAGGGCAGCTGGAGCAGATCAATAAAACTGCCCGTTTACATCCATCATCATACTGTCCATCAGGCTTTTAAAGCTCATTTCCTCGCCACAGTAACCCAATTGCAATTTCCAATGGATCAACATTTCTGGAATCCAATTTCCATCCTGAGCAATGTGTTTAAGATGTTTGTATGGATCTCAGCCTGCTGTTATCGCAACCAGAGAACATCCTGGACTCTGTGCTCGGATCAGAGTGCGACCATTTAGACACTAACAGGACTGAACTACAGTTCATTTTTAAAGGGACTTTTTTATCAGTATTTGTTTGTGTGAAATGTGATAAACGATAAACCAGTAAGTCATTACCTTTTTTTTTTTTTTATGGAAAAACAAAGGGATTGTGGTACGAAATGCCCCCCAGAAGAAAGCTGAATACTCTCTGCCCGTATGTGGGTCATAATAATAATTGCATCAGAGTTTAATGACATTTCATTTAGAGATTTGTTTTCGGCATTATTAGGATCAAAACGATTTTATGAAACCATTATCAAACCATTCGTATGTAATCATGTAAACACCATTGTGCCTTATCTGTACTGTTTTGTGGTGTCAAATAGCAAATACTTAATGTTAACAAGAAACTGATGCAATTAAAACAAAGATTTCCCTCTAATTTTACCATCTATTCACATATGGCCTGAGGTTTGTAAAACTTCACATATTGTGTTTTAAGTGGGGCAACGGCAGCTGCAATTACAACAAACATTAAAACTGTGTTCTCTAGAGGTTTCTGCAGGTTCATTTACCTGTTTGTTTTTTTCATCTTACTGTTGTAAGAGTCTCAGTGAAGCAATGCTTTACTAAGTGCCAGTTGTGCAATCTTTCAGGTTGCGTGCCACAACTTGTGGAGAAAATGTTTTCAGAAACAATAAAAGGGTGAACAAAGTGTATGTTTGTTCCATAACTCAGTTTCCTAATTATTATTATTATCCTATCCAATGTTTGTCCCTTCTCTTTACAGTTTGTGCTGTGTGCAGTAATGTTTTTGCAATCTACACAGTTTCAGTAAAGTGACAAATAAATGATACTGTCACTCAAGGAAATTAGAGTGACACCATCCAGAGCTGCAACTAGAGATTATTTTAGTAATTGATTATTCTCCCATTATTATCTTCATTAATTGAATAATCATTTGGTAAAGAAGGAAAAAAGCACATTCTTGTGTTTGAGAAGCTGAAACAATCACATTTCTGATATATTTCATTTTAAAACAACTTAATCGGTTATCAAAAGATTTATTTATTATATATTAGTAATGCAGATCAACTAATCAATTATTGGCCTAATCACTTCAGCTCTAATTCCATGTTTTGAGCCACAGGGATGTTTGCAGAACTTTTGATACTCTTCTTCCCATCCCTCATGCACCCAGTCTTTGCACTGAGCTATGAGGAGGACTGAGACTGTAGGAGCAGCAGGGTTATGATCCGTGTGTAAAAGCATATTGCTGCAACTCCTTCACCGAGACAACAGTAGAGATTAAAAATCTATAAAGTGCGATAAAGTGACCGAGGACAGGCAGGAACATCCTCAGAGTCCTCCCTGTGTTGCGTGAGTGTTGCAGGGGGGTTGCGTGGCGGTTCCTCCCTCAGAGAGGTGAGAGAGGGAGCTGTCCGGTGCTGAGGGGGGGGAGATGAGCTCAGCGCGCGCCGGGGGGCAGGTAACGTCAGCAGTCGGCCGGAGCAAGGAAAGACTGTACATACACACCCAAGTGTTTACCGCCGCTTAATGCCTGATACACACCGACTCACGTTAATGATGGGCAGCTAAGCAGCTCCGTGTGACTCAGCGCCGCTTTTTTTTTTTTTTTATTCCGATCCATGAGTGCCTCGGCAGCATCCCGCGCCCTCCGCTTGGCTTGAAATGGGATGATATGGGATTTTTCATGTCGACGAAGATCGGAGGGATTCTTGCGTTTGCCCTGGGTAAGATAGCTCAAGCTCCTCCGAGGGGTTTATTTGGGCTGCGAGCCACTTTGGGTGCATTTAACAGAGACAAAAAGAAAACTGCCTTACATCTTTATCTTTATCTTCCTGCATCCCGAGATGTCACCGCTGTGATCTTTATTTATCTCCATCCGTGTTGCATGATGGTTATCAGCTGTGCCGTGGCCAACATCTTGTAGTACACCCGTCGACGGTGGATGCTGGATGTCTATACTTAGGTGATAGTGTGCAAGCTTTTAGGACATGCATCATTCAGAGATAAAACCCCACAAATTGATTTATTTCTCTTAAATGCCACTTTTACTCACATTTACAGCTTTATTTGTGTTTATTTTGCGTTGTCCTCCTGCAGAATATGTTGTTTTATCATTTAAATTGCAAATGCCTCTGAACAGAGCATTGTACCCCATGTAGAAGGAATATATAGGCTGCAGTGGTCAGGATTATTCTCTGTGATAACATCTGCTTATATCACCCACTGACAGCTGTTCAAAGTAAAGTTTAGATGATTGCAAAATCCTTAAATTCACAGATTAACAGGAATGTTAAAAAATACCTGCTAATTACGTGTATGTATGAAACAACAAATTGAATAAAATATTGTGTTTTTTGTATAAAAGAAGAAGTTACATAATCAAAAGCAGTGCTTAAAGATACAACTGGAAGTGGGGAGATCATATAAAAAGAGTCACCAGACTAAAACTATTTCACACGTACAACAAAAACCAAATTATAATGAATCAGTTATAATAATTTTGCTTGTGCATCTGTCAGGGACAACAGGATGATTCATCTTTCAAACTTAGTCCATTTAATTGATATAGTTTAGAGAGGTTTCTAAAGTCTGGTCACTGAAGCTGTCAGCTGTGTCTGTTTTTGCAGTATTCCTCCCCCTGATGGTGTCAGGAGACGCTGCAGATGTGAGGTGTGAAAACATTTATAAGGACTTTTCTGACTGTGTCCTGGAGCTGGGAGAGAGCATGGACAACTACCAGGAGAACGTGACCAGTGAGAGGGGAGTGGCAGCCGTGTGCAGGTGATAATGAGTGTGTGTAAGCAGCATGCAGCATCCATTTGTGCATGTGGGACATCCCCAATAGAGTCTGTATGTTTTTATGTGAACCAAACACCACTGATTTTAACTGAACAGAAGTGAAAGACAAACCAGCTGTTGGAATAAACACCTTTAGTAAAAACCACAGATCTGCAGCACTGTGCACACAGTTGTATTTATGTTCATTTTGAGTGAAATAGTGCATGATTGAGTGATATAATACAGACGGATATAGTATGAAGAACACATCTCATGGCAAAATACTGGAGAGAAAGAGAGCAGATGCCATAATCTCTGAGGGAGAATAGAGAAATGAATGGTGCTGAGACACTGAGCCATTGTGCTAAATAATTTATGACTTTGCTGCAGCAGTAATGAAATTCCGGGGACGTTTTTTGTCATTGTTACTGCACGCACCCTACAACCCCGGCACAGTATACTGAAGACAAAGATTTACACGTAAGCCTTCTGTTGGAAATTGCCCACTTGCAATATCATCTGTGATATTGTTTCACTCTCTGATGCAGTTGCCATGGTAATTAAAGCTCAGTTTGACTTACTTGAAGCCAACGTAGCCATCTGAGTGATGGATTATTGGCAAGTAAATTAATCCACGACAGCCAGTGCACGTCTGCATGATGTAGCGGGGGATGAACTCTGCGTAAAATGGCAAACACAGTCGTTGATCTGATGATCCTTTGTTTGCCACAGCCACTGGGAAGCTTTCCACACATGTGCCCTCACAGCGCTGTCCGACTGTCAGGAGGAAGTCAGCTCCATCTGGGAGACTCTGAGGCAGGACTCCAGGAAGATACGCTTCCAGGGAAGTCTGTTCGACCTGTGCAGCCCCAGCTCATCTCCTAGCTTAAGTTCACCTTTTGCTGCCCTTACCCTGCCAGTGATGGGCATGCTGATCATGACTGGACCCGACTGGTCCTCTGTATAGATGGGGGTGAGGGTGAGGAGGCAGGAGGGGTGAGAAGGGGCCCCCTGGTTTAGTCCTCCTATGTTCAAATTTAAAGCCAAGGATTTAAGAGAGACAAATATTTTAATAAGTATTATTTTGACACAGAGCCACGGAGGTCTGTGGCAAGCCAATCAATATTTGCTCTGATGAATAATGTTTGAAATCTCCTCAGATACTTCAGCTTTATCCCCCCTTATGTCTAGAAACTGATAGAGTAGTTAAATTACATTTCCACCAACTAACCAGTCCAGGCGCACTAAAACGCCACGTAGTTAAGGGATTTCAGATACAATGTGAGTCTGATCAGAACAGACACCTGTGGCTCTGGGTTACAAACAAGGAGTTGACACAATACAGCTGTACCATCTAATGCATTCTAATATGAGAGCCCTGCAATGAATAATACAGATAACACTGCAGTTATTGCAGATTCAACTCTGAGGCAGTTTCTAAAGCAGCACTAGCGGAGTTGTTGCTGGTTTTCATTACAAGACAGTGGTGAGTTAATGTTTCTGTGTCCACTCCCTGTACCGTGGTTTTACCATGGAAATTGTTCAACATTTTGAGAGTTACCTGAGAGGATCTATAAGCCACTCTCTTGTCTGTACACTAAATATGAAGATGTTGCCAGTAGCCAGTTAGTTTAGCACACACTCCTATGGCTGCTCCCAGCCCAGAAATACTCAGAGTCAGCATCCTTTTTACACTTTTGTACAGATTAAACAAATTACATATAAAATGTTCATCTAAAGCGAGCTTTAGAGTTGCTGGTAGATGGATTATGTTACCTTTAGACAGAGCCAAACTGGCTGTTTCCTTTTTTTTCCCCCTTGTCTTTTAGCCAAGCTAAGTTAATTGGCTTGTGGCTGAAGCTTTATATTGAGTATACAGGCATGAGAGTGGTATCGATCATCACATCTACTTCTCTTTATCTTAAAAAGTAAAAGAGTTCCTTTAATGAAGAACTATAGCGTATGTTAGACACCAAAACAACAAGTTTAATCTCCAGTGAGTTTGTATAAATACAGCCAAGCCATCATGATGTAATTAGCTTTCACGTTTCAAGAAAACATTTAAAGGAGCACTTCACCAAAAACAATTGCAATATTTTCGCTAATCTGTCATTACAAAACCTTTGAAACTGGACCAAACCAAACATCCATCTGAAAGACGTAAATACACTAAAGCTAGCGACTGACCAACGTTCAGATGTCCTGTAGGTGAAATGCTCCTTTAATCTGTTTCCAAGTCTAGTAAATGTTTGTGTAAGTGACAATCAAGCCACTTGTATAAAACTTTTGATGCCCCCTTCCCCAACCCACAACACTTCAACCCACTGTGGTTAATGTTGCACGGCTGCTATAAAGACACCAAAAACAGACATCTGACACGGCATCATCACACGTTCACCTCTCCAGCTCCTCTCATGCTCTCTCAGAGCCTCGCCCTTGCGTTGGTTCAGTCTTAAGCTCGATCAAACTTCTGACCTGTTGATGTTTGTGTGTAATAAGAAAATCTGAAGTGTGGATGTTCAGTGTTGTTTCACCCGTTTCTGTTCCACCTTGTGCGAAAATGCTCACTTTGCAATCAAGACAATATTACATAAATGTGATACAGTACACAGATAGACCAGATCAGATATTCAAAGAAGAATCTGTATAATTATGCATCCAGAGATATAAGGAAAATTTTTCCGAATAATCCTATTTTAATGCCTGTGTACTGCCACACAGTATTTATTTCACATTAAACACCTATAATTAATCTCTAATAAAGCCTAATAATATGCAGGAGCAAAACTAACTGCTGTTGTAATACAAAAAAAAGGCTTTTTTGTAAAATGTCCATAAAAGTGCTTTTGTATTAATATTAGTTCAATTAAAGATTGACCCATTAATGCATAATTATATTGTGAGACTAAATAGACTCCAAACTCTGGTGCTCTATTTATCTGTTTTAATCTTTTGATACATTTTTGAAAACAAAATCCCCAAATGTTAAGCAGCAAACAACGACTGCCATGAATCTTATCAACAGCAATGAGTTAATGGGTGCTACAGTTTGTATCATTCCCACTCTTTCAACACATTTAGCCATAAAACCCCCATGAGATATCGTTAATTGTAATGGCCTTTTAACCACTTACGTTAAATTTCCTTTACAAAGATGCTTTTACTATTACTGCAACAGTCGCCTAGTTTCCGAACAAATTAAAAATGAATGAGCAATAGCATCTATTTGTTTGGTTTTGTTTGTTTTTGTTTTTCCAAAACTGTCCTCATTTGCACAATACTCACGGTCCCAACAGACACGATCACATTTTGGATGATTACTGCGGTCCTTGAATATTTTCCATCTTCTCTTTTGTCACAAATGCATGATCATTTTAGTGACAGTGCTTCAGAATAATGAACCGTCTTTTGATTTTACCTTGGACAAAAGTGTACAGTGGCGTCGACCTGTGCATGAAGTTAGGCTAATAGTTCCTCAGTGTATCAGCATCCTTTTTATGCAGATTCATTACCCCACCCACCCCCACCTCCCTTACCTCCATTAGCATGTTTGTTCTAGTGGTTCCTATTTATTTCATGTTACACGATTGGTAGCATTATGTCATCCATTGAGTGTCTGGTGGTGAGAATACAAAAAAACAGTTGTGATGTCCTTCAAAGCATGAGCAATATGTACGGTCACTTCTAAAGAGAGGACTCTTATCCCTTCATATGCTGTTGAAGAAAGCATGAAAATGATTGTGTTATCATAAGCATTAGACCACGAGAAAAGAACCATAAAGACAATTTAAACATGGAAAGAACTTCTGAATGTAAAACAAGTTCAATACCCATGTGTTTTTTTTCCTGTTTACTGATAGAAAAGCACACTATTTACAAGACTGTATAAAGCAATATATGGCAAAGTAATGTGTTTGTAATAATAAAGCACCATGTTTAAAACATACAGTGTGTCTGTGTGTGTGTGTGTGTGCATCACCTTCAGCAAAATGACGGAAACACAAATAGTGGTAAAATAGTGGAACATTTAATCGATGCAGTAAGTCCTCTGTTGTACCACTCATTTACTACAGGAGTTTCTGTTTTTAGCCCTCCCTGAAGCAAAGCGTTGGTAATGAGGATCACAACCAGCCTCTTTCAACTCGTTAGCGCTCTCCCATCTGCTTCCTTCCACCTGGACACTTCCGCAGCTGAGGGAGAAAATGAGGGGTCGGGGGCCCGGGGTGGAAAACTATCACAGATCCAAAGACGTGCGCCCATCATTAGAAGACTTATCTTTGACATCTGAAGCATAATGGCCAATTATTTTTTCACCTGCGGTTTTACACTTTTTTCCCCCGATCCATATGAACTGGTAGTATTTTATTTAACAGCATATGCACAAAGTACTTACACTGTCAATAGCTGCTTGATGCTGGTGCCAACACCCTATATTTAAATCTTCACAGAGGAGGAAAAAGAAAAATATGTACACCTTGTCTGCTATGTTCCTGCACTAGAAACAAGTCAGCAAATTGATTTACATGAATAGGTCCATCTCTTGAGTTCTCTGTATTTAAATACATTATAAAAAGGAACGTTTATGGCAAAGAATACAAAGAGTAGCATTGCATGTGAAAACCTTCAGAGCAGCCTTTGTTAAAAAATGATCAAATAACAGGTGACGCTGGTAGTACTTGTGAGTTTGAACTTAACAGTATTTAGTAGTTGAGGGTTAGATGAGAGGATTGATATCACTCTCATGTGCAATAAATATGAAGCTACCACCAGCAGCCGGTTAGCTTAGCTTAGCTTAGCATGAAGACTGGGAACAGGGGGAAACCGATAGCTTGGCTCCTCTTCAGCTCATTAATGAACACGTTGTGTCTCATTTGTTTAGTCCGTACAAACAAATCAGTGTCCAGGAGACTCCAGGAAGACACTGCACCCGATAGTTCTGCACATATCCCCTGTAAAAAGTACAGCTTATCATTTTTATACCTTGGTTTTAATCAAATAAGATATAACATTTTCATAAGTGAGCCTAAGAGGTGCAGGAATACGACTTTTTCCAAGTTTCCAGTCTAAGCTGAGCAAACAACCTGCTGGCTGTAGCTTCATATTTCATGGACAGACACGAGGGTGGTACTGTTCTTCTCATCTCACTCTCAGTGAGAAAGTGAATATGTGTATTTCCCAAAATGTCAAACTATTGTACAACCTTTAAATATCAACCCCTGCAGCATAATGATGTTCTTATACAACCGGATTTCAAAACAAGACACTGCATAGTCCACACTATGAAAGCTGCAAAGGTTTGATCTGACAGTCACCACACAGAATAAAAAGATGTGTATGTGTTACAGTAATGATCTAATAATAATAATTATAATGCAGACGGGGTTTTAAAAACCATCATTAAATGTTAAAGTTGATATTGTTCCAGAAACCATCAGTGCTACACGTTTCAGTACTTCTCATGCCACGGCCCCACAATCAGTAATAGTGTTTTCAGGGACACAGACACAGCCTGCTGTCAGAACACAGCTGGTGGTTGACAAACTGTCCCCAAAGAGGCCACCTCGACTGCATAACACATCATGACATAAAGAGACGGAAACAAACGACACTAGCTGTGCAAAATGCTGTACAAGCTTGACAAGGAAGGTCTAAAATGAGAATTATTACACTGAATGTACAAACCTTACCCAGAGAGATAAAACAATAAGCCTGATTTTATACTTCTGACCCATTATGTGTTGAGATTATAAATCAGGGAACTCTTGGCTTCACACAATGATTGACTATCATATATCAGTACACCTGTTTGCACACTGATCTTGTTACCCAACGTTTAACTGTTAGACACAGCTCTGATAAAAAGCTGTGATACGCAACCTTGCACATTAAACTGAAATGTAACTCGAACATTTTCATTTTAAAACCAAAACATCTTGTAACATGATGGTCATGTTTGTTTGCCAAGCTCATTATACAAACACAAAGAGAAGGAAAAAGTCTGTTGTTGACATGTGTTGCTCTCTTGCTGCTGTTTTAAGACAGTTTGTATTTGCTCTGAATTTTCCATTTGTCATTTCCTGTGTGCGAAGACGTGTACATAAGCAAAAAATTAAAAATAAGAAGAAATCGTGTAAATCTCAAATTGAGGGAATGGGATGCTCATGCAATTGTGCTTAAAATGAACACAAGAAATGTATTTGCTAAGAAAAAAAATCAAATCTATAGTCATTAGGTTCAGAGAAATGTGTAAACTGATGTCTGCTTTCAACAGCATTAAAACACATATCTTAGTATGCTACAGAGTTAATACTGTCCAACATTTATTGGACAATTGTGAATAAATAGATCAGTTCATCTGGTGAATCACTTGAAGAAGAGATGGATGACAATCCAACGTCTACACTGACGGAGGTTCATACACCATTTCTTTTGCAAATCAGTGAAAAACCTCCTCTGAGCCAGTTCCTCAGGGGTTAACCGTCCACAGACTTTCAGTGTGGTGTCAACACAATTTCACAGGTTAGATTTGGGTCCACTATTGACTGGAATAGCCCTGAGCTCAGTCCGCATGCACAAGTACTCTCCAATTACAGCCATCAGTGCCATGCAGGCTACATTGACAAGCCACCAGGACAGGGCGGCTGGAAAATGTGCATTATAGATCCAGCAGCCGATCATATGGAAGAAGTGCACAGTGACTGTGAAGTCCAGGCACTGTTTCCCTCGACGGATGAAGAACCACAGACCGAGGGCGCTGACAAAACAAGGACAGAGAAAAAGTTCAGCCGTGCTCATTTATGTTTGACAAAAGATTTGTGTGGATACAAAGACGACCCTGCAAAGTAACTGTAAATGTTATGTAACTGTATAATGTAAAGTCTTGCCACATACCAACTCTATAGAAATCATTATCCTATGTAAATATATATCTTTTTCAACAGCGTTTAGTCCTGCTGGTGGATCATTTGTGCAGGTGTCAATTACAGCCTTTAAATGTTTTTATCATGAGACGCTTGAACAACAGCATTTTAGTAAGAGGTGTCACAGTTCTCATCTCTTTGTACAAATGAAGAACTAACTTACCTGGTAAGGGAGTTCAAGATAAATGCCATCATTGAGAGCCGACCCTGCATCGTTGCAAAGCCAAGGGCCTGCCGAAGTAGAGCAAAGATTTAAAGAACGTTTCAGGAGTGTACAAATGTGTGACAGACACAGACTACACAGATGCTCACAGAGATCTTATAACTTACTTCATAGCTGAAGATCTGATCCAGTGACCGACTACTTTGCACCAGACTGTCCACTCCAGCCAACCACAGGCCCAAGAAGCTGTAGTAGATGCACTGCATCAACACAATCTGACTCACAATGAGGACCGGGTCCCAAATGTAGCTACGGAAGTGACTGGCCATTGTGAACTGATGTTACACGTACAGGCCCAAAGGATGTTAACAGCTGGCCCCGACTGTTACCAGCTGGCCCATCCAGTGTGACCTGCGTGTAATCTCAAATTCTGAAACACACAAATTACATTTAATTAACATATTTCACATCTTGAGTTTCCAAACAGCTTTATTACACAGAAAGAGGGCAGTAACTGGAGGATCATTGCTATTTCAGTAACAATACAGCCAACTGCATTGCTGTGAGGTGCCTTATGAATGTCTCTTTATCTTAACAGATGGAATAAGAAATATAGGTTTGAATTTAGGTGCAGCATGAGTTTGAAAAACCCAAGTGCTTGTCTGTGAAGAACATGTGATTAGTTTAAGCAGAACAAACAGTTATTATAGCCACAGAGTTAGTTTACAGAGTCAATTACTAATCATTGTCAATAGGCCAGGAATGTAATCAATACAGCGGTGTCCCTCTATCTTTTGTATATCAAATTTAAACTTTGAATACAGATAAAAAGTTACCTTTTGCAATAGTGGGACGCAAGGATTGAGTTTTATTATTCTATTATTTAGTTTAAAAAATAAGACTGATAACAATATATTAGGCAATGGTAAGTTTATTTATATTTACAACAATCTTAAGATTGATCCCTCAGTTGTGTTGTTTCTTTTCTAAATTGTGAAATGTTCTCTGGTGGACAAACTATTATGTAATGAACTAAAATCAAATTGTCATTTCTGTATTGCAATGTCCTTGTTTACGAGAAGAATGTGATCACATTAATATATAAGACATTCATCAGAAAAGCTGTAATTTACTAGACTGACCCAAGAACAGGGACATGCATCTACCTCTGTACGAAAACACCTGCCTGTATATTTACATATGCATCTATTTTAAATGTATTTATAAGGTTGAAGTTGCCTGTATATTAACATATGCATCTGTTTTAAATGTATTTATAGAGATTAAAGTTACAGGGACATACTCTAATGCCTGTAAATGTGCCAGTTTAACCATCCTCGGCTGCAGTCTCTGGGCAGCTGTAACGAGAGCTACAAAACACACACATTAAACAGGAGCAGCAGCACTGTACATATAGCAGAGCACCTTACTGAGCCACTCCTGTCACACTGCATGTATCGAGCATTGACTGTGTGACCTTTATATTCCCATTTAAAGCCAACAGCAGGCTAACGGAGCTCGCAGCTAGCCGCCGTCCACCAACACCACCACCGCACTCTCGACGATTAGCACAAGCTAACACTGACGCTAACCAGCCACAGGTTGTTAGCTCTGTTTGACGAGTGAGTAAAGTACTTACAGCCCAGCGTGGTTCAACTCAAATGAACATAAATATCAAGTTAACGCAGACGTTTCAACCGCGGTGTGAGAAAGTCTTCTGGACTCGGAGGAGGAGGAACAAGTGAAGTTACAGCAGCTTGAGTTAAACACAAAGACAGCTGATACGAACCTCAGTGCTGGACTGGAGAGGTTTCCCTTGGGTTGGTTACTATATTTAATAAACTTTAATAAACTGGGCCTTCAGTCGGCTGGCTAAACCTTGTTAACAACACGGAAGTCACAGTGTTTGACCCGGAAGGAAAACTTAACCGCTAACTTTGTCTTCAGTGTAAAATACTTTAGACGCTTAACCGAGTTAATCTGGACTAGTTTTACTGCGAAATTAGTTCACTGCAAACAACCGAGAGATAAAATGTCTACATTTGTGCTGTCCACGATGTACTTAATTATTTTTTTAACCGAGTAATTTTTAAAATTTCTATACATACAAGAACAACTATTATTTTGAAATGCTTTCCCTTTTACCTTCCGGAAGTTGTAACATTAGTTTCAAATATAAGATTTCTAGCGAAAACATTTAAATATTTTTCATTGTTTGTTTATTGATTGTAAGAGCAAAATAATTCTAAATTTAAGTTTTTCTCAATTAAAAAAAAAGAAATGTGGTTTACGATTTAACATCGCAGAATAAATAATAACATTACAACATATCATTGACTTTACTCAGACTGACATATTGTCATAGCAACATTTATTATTTTTCACAGTGTCATTTATTACTTCCACAACTAATCCAAAGTGTATTTTAGAGCTTAAACAATTGGTTGATTAATCAAGTAGTCATTAAACAAAACAAAGTTGATAAGTAATTCATAATTTAAGTAATTCATCAAGCACAAAATACCAAACATTGACTGGGTTTAGCTTCTCTAATGCAAAGATTTGCTGATTTCCTCTGAAATTAAATAAATAATAAAGATCAACGTCATCCAGAGAAGAAGGGGTCAAGCCCTCCCCCTTTCTATGGCTCCTTTATCAACAGTGTTTCTCTTTCTAAGGTAAAGTTGCTCCGGAACTTTCTGTGCAACTAAAAGGACACGTATTGGTCAGATAACTTGATTTACTGTTCACTGACAGCCCAACCATAATTAAACTGTGTGTCAGCCTCGTGTGAAAGCGTTTCTCTGTGTCTGCAAACAGAAGAAGTGACAGATTGGAAATACACGACTGCGCTTCATGAGCCGTCGTTTCTTAAATCCTCCTGCAGATACTTTGTAGCCTAACGCATGGGAAATCCCTCTTTTATATTTAATATTAAACCGCTGTCCCATTGAGTTCTGCTCACTATCTAACAGTTTGAGAGCATTTATATGCTCTGTTTTTGGAGAACATTAAAGGCAAAGTTAAAATAAATTGCAACTCATTGACTATTAATTTATTTTTAACCCTTTTTTTAAGAGGTTTGATAAATGTTCTGTTCATGGCGATTCTGAGTACGATCATAAAAAATAGTAATTTTACTGTACAGATGTGAATCAAATAAAGGGAAAGTCACCTCAAAGAACATTGTAAGACCCTCATAATTCCCTCATATTTGAACTTACATTTAAAAAAAAAATCCTTTTAAGAATGACCCAGACTGTGACTATATAAAATATAAATTAACTGTGAAGATCCCCCAGATCAAAATGCATCGAAACACAATTTCCACAACAAAAAGTTTATAGCCGGGTCATAGTCAGGGTCATTCTGGGCCGAATTTAATTGTAAATCTCAGCAAACCTGTAAGGGAAATGTTTTAATTTCAATTATAATTTAATTTAATAATAATTTAATTTAATTTAATTTGTATGCTTACAACTACCACTTCATATATTTATATTACAGTATTGTTCATTTTAATCTTAAGTAAAGGACCTGAGTACTTCTTCCACCATTAAGTAGAAGATCAATTGAGAAGTTCACTTCCAGCTGAACTAAATATTGAATTAATCAGTTTTCCAACTATTTAAACTACATGTTTACACACTTTTCTCATTTATAAAAAATAATTAAAATTCCACAGATAAGGTATGCACGGCTGCATTTCTAATTATTTTCAATATTTCTCAAACGGAAACCACTGACAGTTCCCAGGTGAGTCAAAGCAGAGTTTTGGTCATGAATTCATTACATATTGTAAACAAAAAATCTATTTAAACTAGCATTTAACTAATAATTTACATTTGGCAGGCTCAAACCTGCTGGTAAACAGGAAAAAACTAAATTTTTCAGGACGTAGCCAGTCATAAAGCAGCTTCTTACATCTGTTCTGTTTTGGCTGGAAGGTTATGCAGGACAAAGGTCCAAAGGTTAATTACTAACAGAGCCTGACAAGTCCTGGCAGCGTGTGTGCAGTTCACTCTTGTATCAGTTGCAAGGTTTAATATGTAACTCTGCACCTCCATTTACTGCAGCAGAGCAACTTTATTTAACTCATAGACATGAATTGTTTTATGTATTTTAGTGTTTGATCTCGTTTCTTAGGGTCGACAGAAGCTCCACAATGGTCCGAGCACATATCAGTGTGACAACAATACGGAAGCTCATAGAGATGAAGATACCATCCATCAGTGTACACAGGAACCTGGCATGTTTGCATCGCACTGTGGGTAAGAACATTGTTTCTTTCTTCTTTTCTTTATCGTGTTTTATAAATGGGTTCTAGGAGAGCTTGTGTTTGAGCTGGGCAGTGAAATCTACTGAGTTAATATGCTAATGCTACTATAATGCTTCAGGTCTGCAACTATGGTTTTTGTGTTAATATGTAAAATATTTGATTTTGTGAGTTAATTTTAGGATTCTTATTTAGACTTAAGTGCTTGTCTATGAATGTATTCTTGGCCTTTCCCATGAGTATTGTGTTGATATGCTGCAGAGATGTGTCTCTGTCTTATTATAGCAATTGAGATTCTTTTTGTAGACTTCCAGCTTGTGTTTTTTTTGCATTGTTTCTCTTTATTTTAGTTTGTAAGTGAGCAGCTCAAAAACCTGCTGAGACACTTCCAGAGTTAGACCACGGGCCAAAGAACAAGTTATTAGTTTACGCTTCTAAACCGTCTTAAAAGGAAAGTTGCACACGTTTGAAGATTAATAATTTTTAAACATACTTGCTGTTCTCTCATGAACTACTGCGCTACAGGTACACATGTCTCCTCACTGGCTATGAATGTGTGCATTAAGATGCAGAAACATATTAGCCAAGCACACTATTAATTGTGGGTTTAGTGATTTCATTCCCAGCTCCTCTCGTCCAAACATGTCCTTGAGCTATAAACAATGAAGCCAGAATTCCTCCTGATAGGTGTGTGTGTGGGGAAACATGTAAGCTGCTGTGAACAGAAAGCATCTGCCAAAAGCATGCAGTGTTTTCCACATTTTGTTTCGTTGCCTTGGAGTTGTGTAATTTATTTCCTGAGCAAAAGTCTGTTGGATCTTTATGAGCCCTCTAATACATTACACAAAATCTAATACCTCTTTTGTACATAATTCAAGGTATATTTTTCTTCTACCCGTAGGTGGAGTTCGGTGGAAGAGCAGTTTTAGACAAGCCCCCCTACTGACCGCTGCTCCCGTTCGTGCCCTCGTAGATGAACAGATCAGCATTAAAGGACGTTTTCTGCCCCCACACTGTCCTGTCACAGTGTGTGCACAAATGCACAGTGAGGATGGAGACCTGTGGGAGGCATTCGCACATTATAAAACAAATGCAGATGGCACTCTCAACTGTGAGTTCCTGTAGTAGAGTATATTCCCTAATAATGCAAATACCACAAGTTTATTATATTAATTTGTACAATTGCTGAAAGAAAACATTATAAAAACTGGTTCTAATACTTGTTGGAAAACGCTATGATTAGTGTGACATTAAAACTTTGTGTAGTTTTCTGCAGCTTTAGTCTTATATTCTAAACTTTGCTGCTGCACAACCAGTGTCAGAGCAGGTCACATCTCATTTAAATATGTATACAGGTACTAAAAGGATATTTGAACCAGAGACAGCAAAAGAGCAATTAAACTGAATAAAGTGTGTGTAGAGTAAAGTTGAAATTAAATTAGAGTTGAAATATTTTAACCATTTAGACTTTTATGGAGGCAGTTGGTAACCTTCCTTCCCCATCTGTCCCCTCAACAGTGACCAGGGATCATTCAGTCGGAGGTTCATATTCAGGCTGTGAGCCGATGGGACTGTTCTGGGGACTGCAGCCAGCTCCTGGTGCAAGAGAAGGTTTGAGGCAGGTGATGAAAACAAGCTCACAGAGACCTAAAGAAATCAATGTTTCAGGGCATCGAACCCAACCAACTGTTGTCTTATACACGTGTAGCATCGACCTATACTTTAACCCTGTTACTAATGGAGAGTGAACACAGTGGTCATTTTAAAGCCATATTTTCCACATGCTTTCACAGAACATACAACCATAGCCTCAAACAAGTTAGTTGGTCCATAAATACAGATGTGGTTCTCTCTCAGCATCCAACTATCTTAGAATTTAGGACCATTTTAATAAAGTGTCAGTATCAATCAATATCAGCTTGTTGGGCACCAGGGTACCTCTTCATGTACCATGAGTCCTTGCTGCAGCCGCCATGGGTTCGACTCTGACTTGTGGCCCTTTGCTGTTTGTTTCTCTCCCCCCTTTTCTGTCACTGTACTGCTGTCACTAGCAATAAAAGGCAATAAAAGTCCTCAAGAAATGATTAATGATTTAATGATGTCACACGTTTGTTCTTGTGCATCAGAGGAGTCACACTGTCACACAAATTAAAATGCTTGTTACTGTCGTACTAAAACGAAACATGTTCGCTGACTGAAATGTGCACTTCTTCACAGGCTGAGGAAGAAAAACGTAGAGACTCCGTTCGTCATGCACGTGTCCTTACTGGAGGGCCACGTTTCACCCAGTGAAAGACAGAGCACTGAGCTTGCTGCAGTAACTACTGAGCGCTGGTACATGGCACCGGGCGTACAGAGAATAGATATTAGGCAGGATGGAGTTGTAGGGACGTTGTTTTTACCACCCGGTGAGCACAAGATTTGAAGCATTTACTCGTTTCAAGACTGGCGTGGAAACATTGTGTCCTCTGAACAGTACCTACTGTACTGATTTCCTGTAGGCCCAGGCCCATTTCCAGCCATGTTGGACCTGTGGGGAATGGGTGGAGGACTGGTGGAGTACCGCTCCGCCCTGTTTGCTTCCAGAGGCTATGCTAGCTTGTCCCTTGCCTACATAGGGCACAGAGATTTGCCCGGCCCACAAAACCGCATCAATGTTGGTGATTCATATTTCAAGGTGAGATAAGATGCAGATGTCCTACACTACGTCTATTTCTTTCTGCACTATGTATACATGTCACTTTTTTTTTTAAAAAGCTGACTTTAATGATGTTTTTGTTTGGACAGTCAGCATTCCACCTTCTTAAAGATCATCATCAGGTCTGCGCCGACAGAATTGGGATCATCGGTCTCTCCTTTGGAGTCTACCTGACTCTTCGAATTGCCACTCAGACCGGTGTCAAAGTATGTCAGAGAGGTCTATGTCTGATCATTTATTTATTTATCTACAGTTGGATCCATACATAGCTCCTTGTACATGAAAAATCACTCCTATTTCTTTAGAATGAATCAGTATAAAAATAAATGTACTACATCTCTAGCTGCAGAATGTTAATTATGACTTTATTAAGTTTCAGCTTGTAGGATGAAGTTCTCTTTGACTTTCAACAATTTATGTTCTCTTCTCCAGCCATCCTGTTTGATTTGTATCAATGGCCCCATAGGAAGTACCACCAAGTTGTCAGATGCAGATGGCAAGACAGAAGATTTTGAAAGGTAAATGGTAATTAAAGTTGAAGGATAATAATGGCATTATTATTATTATTATTATTATTATTATTATTATTATTATTATTATTATTATTATTATTATTATTATTATTATTAAGACAGCCCTGTGGAATCTATCTGATCTGATTGGGGCTAGTTTCAGGTGTCATACTTACGGTGAGTTGATAGACTAAAATACTCTTATTTAACTTATTTTTATAAATGAACAGTTCGTTGTTAATTTAATTGTCTTATTGGTTGAGATCTAGTAAGACAGCTTTTCTGGTACGTTTTTTCTCTGTTCTCTTTGTTAGTGAACAGAAATATTGGACGTTTGATGATCAAGGGCACGTCAGTTTCAGAGATGTCTCCTTGCCTGCTAACCTTTCCTCTGAGAGCAAAGTGAAGGTGATGTGAAACCTCCATCCTGCCCCCTGAATCCACCACAGCACACAGACTGTACACACACACACACACACACACACACACACACACACACACACACACACACACACACACAGACTGTCACACACACACACACACACACACACACACACACACACACACAGATGCGTATAAATATTTTGTATCATTGACATTTTGTGTTTTTGCAGATTGAGCGACTCGCCTGTCCAGTAACATACATAGTGGGTGAAGATGACCTGAGCTGTTCCAGCATAGAGAATGCAAACCTGGTAGATAGATTTTTTTTTTTAGTAGTAAAGTATTTCTCAAACAGTTTTGTTTATTTGTTCACTGTACAGTTATTGGTTGTTGTTAAAGCACTTTGTTATTGGTTATCAGATTGAGGAGACCCTGAGGGCTGCAGGTAAATCCCAGCTGTTCACCCGTCTGTCGTACCCGGGTGCTGGTCACCTGATTGAACCGCCATACACACCCAATTCAAGAACGTCCCTGTGGAGCGTCAAACCAAAAAAACGTGAGCCCCATCCCGGAGTTTTGTTGTCATTACATTTTTAATATGAGACTGTTCGTTGTAATATTGAATATTAATTGTAATGCCATTCTTTCTCCTGTAGGGACAACTCTGTGGGGAGGTCATCTCACTCCCCACGCTGCTGCCCAGGAAGATGCCTGGAAGAAGATCCTGGGTTTTATGGAAAGTAATCTAAGAGGGGGAATCTATGGTGAATAAAAATCGTGAGATAGAAAACGGCTCCTCATAAATATGACTGTGAAATGCTGCCTTTATCGGAGAAAAATTTACTAGCAGAGAATCCAGGGAGACAAAGAAATGTGTTGTTTCTGGACGTAAAGGACCTCCTAGAAGCGGTGTGTAATTCATATGTAGCAGGCTGCAGCTCTCCCCCAGGGAGAGCTGATTGGTCACTGTCAGAACGGTCCTTAACCTGCCATGAACACCACCAGAAGGGAAGAAAAGTCATTTTAGCAGCAGTTTAGACTCATAGATGTTATATCACCGTTATTTGTCTTGCCTCTAGATAGGACACATTACATGTCTACATCTGCAGGAGTAAATTGTTGCTGCTGTCCTGCCACAAGGTGGCCCAGCTCAGACTGTTTATTCAGAGATACAAGATATTGGCTACATTCAGTATCACTGTGTCCTTAATTTTCATTTCATTACATGTTTATTTGATAGGGACAGATACAGTGTATACAGATAATTGCATTCAACAATTCACTGCGGTGCAACATATCACAGCATTTTTAGCTACTACTAATTTCCAATGCCTGTCTGTAGCCTTTCAAATAATAACAGACATAAAAAAATGTTCATGGTAAACAAAGTAGTAGTTGAGGAATCTTTCATGTGTTATCATTGTACATTTCATTCTATACAACAAACTTATACAAAACTAAACAAAAGTTGTAACAAAGATCCATCTTGGTTAAAATCTTCTCAGACACCTTATTCATATACACTCAGTAGTACATCATCCAGTCTCACATAAATAAATCAGACATTTACTGTGATGCTCAAATTCTTTATACTTAGTAATGAGTAAACATAAGATGCAATGTGATTTCTTGTCTTAATTATGTAAGAAATTTAATTATTTTATAGAGCTATTGTATGTAGTATACAGACTTTGGTGTCTTATTGTTGTGTTGTGTATTGTGTCTCATAGTGAATATGAATGTTATGGATGTGTACTGATATAGTTTCTGTTATAGAAGTATTGTTTAAAGAATACAAAAGAGGACCCCAGGAAGAGTAGCTACTGTGACATTGCAGTAGCTAATGGGGATCTAAACAAACAACCTAACTAACTAATCATTATGGTTGTTTCGGGATGAAGAGTTCATGGCACGCTGAGGTGACCATGGAGATGAGGGTGATGAACTCCTTGAAGTCAATCTCCAGGTCTCCGTTCTGGTCGAGGTCCGCAAAGAGCTCATCCAGAGTTTCATTCTCTTGGATTTTCTTTTCAGCAGGAAAATTGAAATAAAGTAAAACATTTTCAGGCAATGGACAATAAATTAAAAGTCTTTTGTAATTATCACCAGCCATAAACAATGCCAATTTATACACTTTCGGTTCCATAACTTACCATAATAAAATTATTCATCTCGTTGTTAATAAGCGCTTTAAGCTCTGCTTTCCTCAGCTTGCACTTTTGACCAGAGTATTTTTGGAAAACTTTGATAATGTTGACCATGCCACTCTCCAGGTCTGACATATTCACCTCTGAAACCTGCACCAAACAACTGAAATCAATTCCAAATTCACACTCAAATGTGTTGCTCGCACATGACGGCTGCTGTGATGGAGATAATTATCTTTCTGTATGTTTTAAATACATTAAATACATGGTAACATGATTCATGCACTTAACTTACATTACTCATAAAGATAATCAAGAATACATTTCAAATGTATAAAAGCAAATATTGAGTCTTTCTTACCTCCATCTGAAGAAACTGTCCTGTCTTGCAAGGAGCCTGAGTGCCACTGATATTCTTCAGCAGTGTGTTGACTGCCTCGCCCTCTTTACTGTGCACACTACACTGTATTGATCAACCATGCAAAGTCTTCTGTCATGCATTTCCTAATGGACCACTAATGGATACCAGCAGTCAGAGCCTTGACCAAAAACCATTTGCTCTTAAAAATGTTTCATTTGTCATTTGACTGTGATCAAGTGTATCATTTTGCCTATGTGTGTGAGTATGTATGAACTGAGTAATGGATGCATTTTCCTGCCATTTGCGGTTTGTCGGCTTCGCTGTGATGAAGGTGCACTCTGTGTGATTTGAGTCTTGCAAACGTCAATATTGGTTAGTTCCAGATAATGTCTTGCATGTTGAGTACTTCATATATAGTAATAAATAAATAATAAATAATAAATAATAAATGAAATGCTAAATGCCTACAGACTGCAGTGTTTGCCTGAGATAAGGCACGTCTATGGGCACAAACAACGATCAATAATATCTGAGCTTAGGAAATAATGTTTAGAAGTAATTTCAAAGTTAAATGTGTGCATATCACCTTCTGTCAACCTGAGAAACAAATCAGTGCTAAAGTTTGTGAATGTGTAGACAAGCTTTAATGTTATACAAAGGATTGGGCTAATATAAGGTTAAACGTAGACACTGTGAAAGTGCTTTTGTGAACATCTGAGCACAGATTCAAAGCAGAACAAACTCAAAGTTCCCACTTTGTGTGTGACACTGAAGTTACACCTCTGGATACACAAATTTCAGTTACTTTATTATTACTTAATTTAAAAATTGCCCTGATTTTGGCTGTGCAACAATGACAAAATACTGGACTGGATACTGGAATTTGGACTTACACAAAACACAAGAACAGTGAATTGACATTATTTCCACAGAGAACATAATGTAAAGCCTCTATAATGGTAACAGTGCTGACAGCAATCAACACTGTGTTTGTGGTTTCAGGTTTTACAGGGAGAGATACTGAGGACGGCTTTTGCTGAGCTGTGACATCACTTTTAAAGAGATTTCCTTTTAACTGAAGAGTAAGGATATCAATATATTAAGAACATCATAGTAAGAATTTGTTCATAGTATTGCAACAGCCAAAGCTGGATGCTCTCTCCAACATGAACACAATGTCAGCGTCTACAGAGGCAGAGACGACTGTTTCCGCCTTCTTCTTGTAATCTGAAGAGAAGATTACTGGGGCTTAATTACCAAACATAATTTGGGTTGGAAATTATTATAATATGTTTCCTGACAACAAGCCACCACCCTTCTAGTTTCTGGGCTCTCTGATTTACATACAGAGAAGAACCACTGCAACTACTCACATATATAGATGTTTATTGACCATATTCACACGTTACACAACTGCAATATTAAAATGATCCTTTAAAAGCGAGGTAGTGGTTGAATTATAAAGTAATGTTTTTATTATCTTAAAAGATGTCTGTGTCATTTTCATACGATCTAAGTGGCTGATTGTAAGCACTGATGTAGTCCAGTCATAAAATTTTACTTTGACTGCCTCAGAGTATTTTATTGTTGTTGTTTGGTTTTATTTACATGTCAGTTATATTCCTAGAGCCTGTTCTACCTTTTATGTATCATGCACTCTGGTCTTAGCCTCTTCAAATGAAACAAAAACCAAAATCAAACTTAAATTCAACTATTTACAAGTCTAGTCCACACCAAGGCCATAACCTGATACCAATTGATTGGTTGACCTTATTATTTTATTTTTTGGGGGTGGGAAAAGCGTTGCCTTTTTGACTCAAGACCCCTATAAAGCCACGTCTACTTGCTGGTGCCCCACATCATATATTTCATTGTGAGCAGTACTATTGATTGATTTTCCTGTTTGTTGTAGAGAAAAGTCCTAAAAAATAAACAGCATTTTATGTGGTAGAGTTTTATATACCAGAAGATTGTATATAGTCTAAACAGATTTGAAGAAAAACAGGCTACACTCTTATACTAATTCTGTTAATTTTCTGATCACATGTTTTTAATCAAACAGCAATATTCCATGTTGTAATTCAATGAAATCTAATCACTTTTTACAGCTTATTATCCATGTCCATCTAACTACTGTATGCTGACTCCTGATTCATTGTATTCACTGGCAGGAGCAGCGTACAGTGAATCAGCTAAATGCAAGTAAGGAGGCATTTGTACAAAACAGACATATCTGAAAAATCATTTTGCATTGTTTGCTCACATGCATGATAAGTAATAAATAATAAATACTAAAAATAAAGCGTCCCACTTTACCAGCAAAAATGTGCCACTCAACTGGATACAATGGGTGACAGATGGAGTTTACGTCAATAGAACTTATTAAATAATTTATACGATTCTATTCTATATGATACACGGTAGGCATATTTATAAGGGTCTATTTAAATGAAGAAAAACACCCAAAACGGTCCCAGTGTACTTTAAACCTCCCTACAATTTCCTACGAAGCTTGAATTTCGCGTTTGCTCGTGAACGCACCGCGGCTACGCTTCCTGTTTGTCCGCTCCTTGTCGACCTCACCGTGCCGCTCTCTCGGGTGACGCGCCCGTCCGCACCTGAAGCTCGGCGGCCTAGATGAGAGGAGGAGACCGTCCCTTCCTGAGAGAGGAAACTCGCACCGACGTAAAGAAACCAGTGCAGACGAGCCCAGCGTTAGTGTTAATTAAGCGCGTTAATACCGCAGTTTCACTCAAACTCTGCGTCCTCTCACACTCAGTTATCCGCGTTTTAGTGACTTTTCGGGTCGGAAAGAGAAACGCAGCTACCGAGAGCGACAGCCGGGAGGGAAACAGCAGTGTGTAACCTGGGTTTTTGGTAAGGTTTCAGTCATTTCACTGTGTGTGTAATGTTTTTTTCCCCAAGTTCCTTTGCTACATTATCTAACCTCAGGAATGCTAAGCTACCTGTTCACCGGGATGTAAAGAGCAGTAACGTTGATGCAGTTTATTATAGCTCATTGGTTATAAAGTTGTGTGCTGTTACACGTCAAATACAACTACATTGACGTGTATTTTCCATGTTTTCCATCCCATAAAGCTCCTGTAATCCTCCCCTGACATTACTAATAGCACTCAGCAGTGTGTGGGTGGCACTCAGGAGTTACTTTATTCACACCCTGTTGTGCTTCTTGGTCTTTTTATTCTCCCCTTTTTTTTTTTTTTTTTTTTTACTATGAGATTAAATGCAGCAGTTTTGCATACTGTCAAAATAATTGTTTAGAAATAGGTTAGTGTTTTTGGAGAGGGACTGTGAGCTGCTTATCTGTTAGGCATTTGACTTGAGCAGAGACATTGTGCTGCTTCATGTGCAAAGGCATGAAGCCACAACCCCTCCCTCACACACTTGTCTTTTTTCAGAAATGCCCTGTTTTCATTTTGAGGCTATAATTAGCTCAGTGTGTGAATGTGTGACCTGCCTCCTCTCTTTTTCTCTCTCGCACACAGTTTACATCTCTGTGTTGGCTAAATCCTCTCTTCTTCTCTTCTGTTCAGACATGGCTGATCTGCTGAGGCTGCTGCTCCGGGTGGGTGAGAAAGCGGCTAACGTGGCTCGGGTCTGCAGGCAGGAGGCTCCCCTCTTTCAGCTCCTCGTACAGGAGAAGACTGGAGATGATAAGAACAAGAAGTTTGTCCAGGACTTCAAGACGCTGGCTGACGTGGTGATCCAGGAGATGATCCGGCATGATGTTGGTGCACAGGTACAGAGCTCGAAGGGTGTCCCGTTGTCCCAGGGACAATAAAAACAATATAATTATATATTTAAATTAAAAAGAGTTACAGTCATGCTTGCACACACAAAATCAATCAGCTTGGCAACTTTCTCTCTAGATTGAGCAAATTTTCAGACCCTCTTGGTGACTTTATTTCTAAAAAGCTACTAGCAACCAATTTAATGACTTCTTCAGACCATCAGGGAGCTAGAAATCTATTCAAATATATTATATTTTATATTTCATCCTCAGTGATGCTGCTTTGGGGTCTCAGTCAGTCAGTACTTGTGCTGTGTGGGGAACGTTTGAGCTTCTCTCTAAATATAAAATAGGGAGATATTTGTTTTTTGTGGATACAGTATTTCTACTTAAATCTCCAATATAAAATATATTCTTCTGAGGATCTCTAGACGAGGGCTTTCCTATAGCTTATAAATATGTAAATAGTTTGTTTGACCTTCCCTCCCACTCTTTCTCTCTGGGTCTTTGGATATGGGTGTTCCTATAGCTTACATGTTACTAGTACGCTTGAGCTTGTAAATATTTATCTAGTTCATTTGACCTCCTCCCTCCCCTTGTGGATTTCTATATATAGATAAAGTGAGTTTAGGAAAGAAGTTTGATCCCGAGCCTTGCTCAGGTAGAAGTCCTGTATGGACTGTCTGAAGGATCTGGAGCTGGACTGTTGGATTGTAATCATGTCCTGTCTGTGCTTCTGTTCAGTTCCCTGAGATGGTTGGCTTCATTCATGGAGAGGAGTCCAACAAGTTTGAAAATGGGCTTGGTAAGTACTTAATATTACACACGTAACACTCTACATGTTCATGTTCTCTTGTTGACTTTGGATGTGAAGGACTTTAAGGTCTCTTCAGTTTGTAGCTGTGTAGTCGAGGCGTTTTAGGAGCTCTATAAAGGGCCTTTCTCACGGCAACTTTAGTTCCTCCTACACGCTTGGTAGGCGAGTGGCCACTTCACCGCTGGCTGTCACTAGATCCTACACACTGGTCCTTTTTAAACAATGAATCTATTATGAAAATAGTTGCAAATTTATTTTCTGTGGATCCACAATTCATTTCAGCTCTTGTTGACATTGTGGTTAATGGTACATATTTGTAAATAAAGCTGTAATAAAATGAACTTAAAGTAATCAACACAGAAAACATGGGGCCAGGTATTGTACCTGGTTAGTTTCTGTGAGTCAACTGGATCCCTACAGCAAATCTTCCCCCGGAGCAGGGCTGCTGACAGTGCAGGTAAAACCAGTATCTCAGGCTCATAGAGGAGTTTAGTGTGTAAGGATTCCAGGTTACTTTATTTGTACCCACAGGTAGATTTGGTTTGCAGTAAAACATTATAAAAACAACAGACAGCTCAGACAATAGACAAACATGATGAAGGTTACAGTGCTCCAGACTTTAACAATCAGGACTTACAAAGAGAGATCAATGAAACACCACTCAGACAAATAACCTCTAGAAAAAAAAAAAAAAAGCAGATAAAAACAATAGAAACTCTGTGTTACTACAACTTGTTGATCTGAACGATAGCTGCTGGAACAAAGCTGTTTTTAAACCTCTTTGTTCTACATCCTGGGACTACAAACATCCGTCCAGAAGGAAGAAGCTGAAATTAACTGTGCAAAGGGAGGGAGACGTCATTTAAAATGGAGCCGGTTATACGCTGTAACTGTCTGCTGTACAGGGGTTCTGGGTTGACAGCTGAAACTAGACCATTTAAGAATCTGGTTGAGGGACTTTCTGTTCTTTTAGAGAAAGGTTTCCAAACCATGGCGCCAAAGAAAAAGATAAAACTGATTCAGTAAAGGCACGATAAGGTCAACAAGGTGCAGCCCTGTAGCGTTTGTTTGCCTATAGAGCGGTCACAAGTGGTGGAGACGCTTTTTAATGTCGGGTCTGAACTGACGTACTTAGATCAGCCAATATAAGTGAATACCAGGTACAAACTGGGCCTTTAATCACTCCCTATTTATCTGAACCAGTGACTCTCACACTGAGGGGCAGCCCCCCTGCGAGGCCTAGGGCCGCGGACAGAAACCACCGATCTAAACAATGTGCGGTGTTTTAGGTATTTATTGCAAAGTGCTGATGTGCAGCTGATCGCTCAGAGGGGTAAACTGAAACAGAGAGCCTGATAATAACTACAAGAATTGTTGTTGCTGCAGGAATATAGAAGCTTTTATCTGTTAAAATACGACTAAAATTAAGAAGTGCTGTATATATTCGAACCACAACGTCAACACAAATAACCCTAACTCTTGTGTGTGAATAATAAACCCATCTCTGATTCAGATTCTCATTCTGGTATGATAATAACGCTCCACCTTCATATGGGTGGAGTAAATACTAGAAGGACTAAATATACACTTGAACCTCACAGTGACTTAATCATCTCTCATTTAAAATAATCTGAACATAAAACCAACACATCAGTGTGTCACTGTCCAAATATTTAAAGCCCGTGTAAATATTTAAAGTCATCTGTTGTAATCAGATGAAGCCTCACTGACTCTGTGTCACCAGGGGAGAGTGTGACGGTCACAGTGTGCGGTACGGAGGAGGAGACCGCGATGCTGCTGGCCTCGGTGCTTGATGGTGACCACACAGCAGCATCTCTGCTGGCCCGAGCGATCCACCAAGACCCAGCGACCATCGACGCTGACACAGATGGTCTTAAGGTGCCCCTCAGCCCTTCTGAACTCGGCATCTGGATCGACCCCATAGGTGAGAGGCTGGCTGTTGCCTGCTGCAGTGAGTTTATACGGACACTCAGAGTCGAGCCTCAGTGATGACTGTTTGTCTGTTGTTTTTCTTTTATTAAGATGCCACCAGCCAGTACATAGAGGGCCGGGAGGAGGTGCTGGAGGAGGGCCGCCTGTTTCCTTCAGGTCTACACTGTGCTTTGGTCTTAATTGGGGTTTATCTCCGGAGCACAGGCGAGCCCGTCATGGGCGTCATCAACCAGCCGTTCAACTACAAAGATCCAGCAGGTGGAGGGTAAGTTTAAAAACAGAAACCACAGCGACATTTCCTCTTCTACCTCTGAGTTTCTGACAGATTTAAACATTAAAACAGAAGTCGCTGCATTTATGTGCAACTTCAAAGGCCTCCTTTTTGTTTTCTAAAGTTTCAGATCTCATATTCATTTAATTTATATGACAATCAGACTGTTATGAAACCTCTTTAATCATATCTAAGTGTCTCTATATTTTTATTTGTTTTGCCTGCCATTTAAAAAAGCAAAAAGTTAACTAACTAGTTTATTAAGCATATTATTTTGCTCTAAAGTAGCCACTGTATCATGCACACCTGTACAGTCTAATATGATCCAATACAGCAGCTCCGCCATAACATCTGTCTTTAGTTTATAGTTTATAATGTTCAGTTTTGTTGATGTAAGAAATGTTTACACTCATTTATATGTTTATTACTGAAGGTTGTGTTGTACTAAACTACATTATGTTTCATCCTTCCTATTTATATACATGAGGGGGCCAGAATATTACAAACACCTCTTAAGATAATTATAGTCCAGTACAACACTGACTACAACTATGACCTCAATGCTAAAATACAATTTAATGAACACCTCGATGACATTATAGACATCATAAAGGTAGACTTTATGGCAGAACAGTTGTATTGTATAAGTGTACCTAATAAAATGGTCACTGGGTGTATTTCCACCACAATTCTTAATTGAAATACATAAATATACATTAATATGTATACATTAAATATTTATGGCAAATAGATACTCAAGATATTCAAAACAATCCATCAGACTCTGAATCAAACCATGTTTGAATTCTTTACAGCCTGAAGGATGAGTGTGCATGTCACATTTATACTCCCAACTAGTGCAATTGCAGTCGTGACTTGTGGTTTATTTGGACACAAACATTTTCATGATATTTACATAAAGTGCTGCATGTCTGAAAGGGCCGTATAGGTATCATAGTCTTTTATGGGTCTGTACTGTGTGTACCTTTCTCTGCCTTTATCTCTGGATCTCTTTCTCTTCACCTCACACGGCCAGAAGTCACATTGCAAACACCGTTTTTTCCAGTTTGAGTCTGACCAGTTACTCTACATGTCAGATCAATTAGGACACTGTGGGGAATGTTTAGATGAGGTGGCTTCACTACCCGAACCTTGTGAACAAATATGTAACTATGATTAGGGAAGAAGAGAGAACTGACTGCGTGGCCAGCTTTTAAGCTTATAATCGATATTTTTTTATAATAAAACTGTATCAAATGAGAATGTGAGAAATAGCTCTATAATTAATTAATCCGTCTGGCCTGTAAGTCTGTTCACTCTCACTGTTCTTGCATTGTTTTCATTAGCTGTTTCCAGTGAAAAATCTCTAAAAACCCAGTGTAGCTGCTGAACTAAATATTCTCAACCTACCACTTTTTTTTTTTGCATTCACAGCTGGAGGGGGAAGCATTTCTGGGGGGTGTCCTGTGACGGCGTCAACGCCTGCTCAGAGTCCCGTCCAAAAGATGGACCTGGAGGCAGGCTGTCTGTGGTGCTGAGCTCCAGTGAGAAGCAGGTGGTAAAGGAAGCCCTGACTTCCCTCTGCGGCCCTGACAAGCTGGTGTACGCCTCTGGAGCCGGCTATAAGATCCTGTGTGTCATACAGGGCCTGGCTGATGTTTACATCCTCTCAGAGGGAAGCACCTTTAAGTGGGACTCCTGCGCTCCTCACGCCCTGCTCCGAGCCCTCGGAGGGGGGGTGGTGGACCTGGCTAAGTGTCTACAGTCCAGCTCTGGGGCACGGGATCGGCAGACAGAACTGACCTACCACCAGCCTTACGCTGAGTGTAAAGGGGCAGACCGCTGGGCCAACCATGGCGGCCTGGTGGCGTATCGAGACTGTTCTCAGCTCCAAAGTGTCATGGGAGGTCTGAAAGGGAAGTTGTAGTTGAAAAGAGCTGTGGATGTAATTATGATGCACTTATTGCTGCATTCATGATCGTATTCATGTTTTCTATATTAGCAGAGAGAGAAGTGTGGGGGCACAGTATGAAATATTTTAATTGTTTTTAACCAGATATATTTGCAAGTGTGTGTGTATGTATGTATACATATAATATATATATATACATATATATATATATATATATATATATATATATATATGATCATCTTGTCTGAGCCCAATAATATTTCCAAATAATGTTTGGTCTTAATCAGTGGCTCTAGAGGCTGTACGTTGAGGTGGGGGGTGAATTACCAGGGGAAAAACATGGAGCTAAACAAGACTTGAATGAATCTGAGTAATTTAACAAACAAGAGTGTTGTGATCCTCACAGTCGTCAAGATTCAGATTAAAAAGATTTGTTCAGAGAGCCAAAAGAGTACATTAGCTCCTGTTTTGAAAGGGAAGAAAGGAGTGGAGGTCAAAGGGTGGAGTGACGGAAGATGTTTGGAAACCACTGATCTACATCTTATCAGACAATAGGGACTTGCCTAAATGGGTCAATGTCCTAGAAAGCTGAAAGTTTAATCACAAGAACGTTTTACTCGACTTCTGCGAGTCACAAGTTGTTGGCTTCTTCCTCACAGCTCTAACAAACTTAACATTATCTGTGAATTTTGTTTTGCTCAGACCTGATAATTGTTTATTAAACGTTGCTTTAGGCCACATAAAGAAAGGGTATAATATTAGTAAAAGAAAGCACAGTGCTCACTGCCGGACAGCTGAGGAACACTTCACTGCCAGAGGGAAGGTAATGTGGCATCACTTCTGCTTCTGACTGATCTGAAGGATTTTTCTTTGAGTCTAAATTGCAGTTATGAAAAGTGATATTAGAAATGTTCCACCTCGTCTAACCTGTAAAAGGCAATAATAAGTCAAGTGAGTGAATGAGACTCAAATCAAGCAGGAATCTGCACCCCTCTGAAACAGCTCCTTTTAAGGAGCGGAGGGATAGACACGTCCTGCTCTCTTTCTGTGGCTATAGCACTATTAGTTAATAAGGTCAGAGAATGGAAAAGCCATATGAGGTAAGACAGTGACACAGAGAGCCCCTTTCAGTGTGGGTTTACAGTAAAAATGAAGTATTAAGCCAATTTGAAGGATGGGACCTATTCAGGCTGACGGACTCCTCTAAAGGATGGAAACATTATATTAAGATGTTTGCAATGATGACGTGTAACATATGTAACCTTACTTTCATCGTCACTGTATTGTTTGAAATGACTTTAATATGCATTGTTAAGTAACTGAGGAGTCGTTTGTTATGTATACTGAGCATAAAACAGAACAACAATGTGCGTATAGGAAATAATCTTTATTTTGAAAACCAGAGAAAGCAGGGGAAAGAAACCCAACAGTGATATTTTAAAACTGTTTGCCAGCCAGGGAACTCGCATCATAATTCCCTACAAAAAACCCTGATGATTGTCAGATATTTTTTGCAATACTTCTGCATATTCTGTGATAAAATTTGAAAACAAAAACAAAAGTGTTGGCTCTTTCATTGACCACTTGGACTTCAAACTGCTACCGTTAACATACAGCACTGAACATTCGCAAGTCAAGGTGGACGTGTGGTAAACAACGCACTCTGCTTAACGTGGGTACAGCTCTGCATCCAGTTTCCTAGACAGGGACTGAATTAGATATCTGACGATATATGATGACAATGCTGGAAAAAATATAATCAACCAAATCTGTGAATGAAACACATCAGTTGTCAGTTTTGTTGTTTTATTTCTTCTGATTATCACACAGTAACAACCTGCCTGATTGGAGAAAAAAAAAACAATTTAAGTCCTCATAGTTCTGCTTTTTTGTTTTGTCAGAATAAGCTCAAATTAGGACTGTTTTCACATTTTGAGATGGTTTCATTTAGAAGTGAGACAACTCAATCCATGTCTTAGAAACTGGTCAAATAAGTACAAGAGAAAAACAATTTGACACATGAAAAGAAACATGGCAAACTTAATTACCTGCTTCAATGAACTCAATATTTCCAACAAAGGTTCATCTTTTCAAGCTACCAGACAAACCCACATTATGCAATACAATGCCATAAAATATTTATGATACTCGGGTTATTCCAGAGTGTAATGCTTGTGCAACTCAAATGTTTTTCAAAAAAATGTGTCACTCATTTAACATTCAGATTCTACCAAAAACAAATCTTAATTTGCAAATGAGCCGATAGTTTAGTGAGCTACACCTCCCACTCAGCTGTAGCTGGAGGAGTCTGGTTAGGCTAAAATCACTTATGACTGTTCAAAATCCCTGTGATGTTATTACTGGGGAGGGTGTGCAAATTAACAAAAAAAAACATTGAACATGGTACTTTTCATCATCAACTGACAAGAAAAACAGCCTTCATTAAAAGCCTTACCACACATTTTTCACTTCACTCTCACACTCTTCACATATCAGGTGTAAACAATAACAATTATGTTTTCTTAAATTAAACTATGATGGAAATTAAATTGATATTTCTATGCAAGAACCGTTTCAAGAAACCAAACCCAAAATACAGCCAGTTCTGCTGTTTCCCCTTTTTGTCGTTACGTACAGTAAAACCGAGGAAATCAATGGTTTAGATTCAAGATTTTCTGAACATGTGACCATGGCATTTTGAAAGCTGAAGCATGTGCAGGTGGAAGAAAACACAAGTTTACAGCACATGCTGCGAGGCTTTAAGTGTCAGATTTCTTTAATTGTAGGTCAGGAGCCACTGAGATGACACTGCAGACTGAAACACAAAGATTAAAGTATTTAGGATGTAATAACCAGGACGGCTAGAAACAAATCTATGGTGGACTTTTTACTGAAGCTTAACATGCTTAACAAGCTCGCGTAAAATGGCACTTAACAAGGAGGAGGACCCTGATGAAAATGGTGTCAAAATGTAGACAACAGGAACTTCTTGTTTTCAGAAGCAGCCTGAACAACTGCACAAGTCAAATATATGAAATTAACATATTGCATATGTTGCTAATGCAACATATCTTTACAGTTGTCTTACACAAGGCTTACTGTGAAGTCAGTAATGATCAAACTAAAAAAAAAAACAATGCCGATGGGGGAAAAAAAACAAATTTGACAGCATTGACAGGTCAGGGTTGTGTCAGTATTTGTAAATTAGCATAATATCAAATTACATCCTTTTAAGACTCAAATGGCTGTTAACTGTTACATTTCTAACTATGTAAATCAGTTCAACTGTGAACATCACTTCATGTGGTTACACAGTCAATCAACAGGGGGCAGTATAGATCAATTCTAGGTGGTCTTTTTAACAACAAGAATCAAATCAACATTTCAAAATGTCAAGGTGTCACTTTTTGGTGTCCTCAGACCTTCTCAATACACCTCAGCTGGGGCTCAGTATTACAGAGACACCACGACCTCATTCCTGCTGTTAGATTAGAACATGTGCAGTAATTATAACGCCGATCTGGAGCTGAAACAAACAGCGGGCAGACTTCAGCATGTTTGAATCAGAAAACATCTCAAAACAAAAAAAGCTGCTTTATCAGTTTCACTTATTCTTCAGGTCCAGATTTTACATCTTGGCTGCTGCCTTTTCAAAATGTTCTTTTTCTGTTTTGCTTTTGTAAATTCAGTTCAAATGTGATGCATTTAGCTGGTTTCCATTCATTGTTAGAAAATGGTGCAGATCTAGAACCACATGCCATTAACATGAGTAACACTGACACAGTGAAGCTGCCCAGTGTATCTTCTTCATGTTGAGGAAAAGTGATGTCCGACTCTCTTCAAGTTTCACTCTGTCTGGAACCAATGCCTTAAAACTAACCTTATACAAAAATAAAAAAAATCAACAACAAAAGTGAGAGAACTGAAGTGTTAAAATGTAAGTGAATAAAATCATGCATTGCAGGATTTGGCAGGAAATTATGAAAGGAAAATGTTTCATTACAGCATCCCAATGAGGATATCAATGCCAAGGCTACAGTCATGTAAAAGACCAACAAAAAAAATAAAATAAGGTGAAATGAGAGGTAAAGCACCATCACTGCCATGTCTTCAACCCTCCTTCAATACTTGTATTCAGTCAACAGGCTCCTCTTCATGATCTCACTCTCCTCTGGCTGACCTGACCGCAGCCTTACCGACACCAATCTTCTCCAGCTCAGATCTTGGCATGCCAACAGGCAGGCGAGAGACAAACATGGCCATTATTTATTGTGTCCCTGTGTTTCTATGTTGATACACTGATAAGTCAACAGACTTCACCTCTGGAAGGGTTTGCGGACCTTCTTCCTCCTTCTGGGGGGTTTGCCACTTTCAGCCCACGTCTCGCTGGACTCTGGCCGGTGACCGCCCGGCATGTAGAAACCTGTCTGGCCCGGGGGAGGGGAGAACGGGGGCGCTGCAGCACCAGGAGGCTGGTGATGGGGCGGACCTGAGGGGAAGAAGCCCCCGTTGGCAGCCATGTCGTTAGGAGGTCCTCCCTTGAAGATGCGGTTGAAGAAGTCCTGCAAATCTGCGGGGTTGGTCGGACCGGTGGCTTGCTCTGAGGGCGTCCTGAAAGTGAACGTTAGAGAAGTTCAGAGATCTTTTATGCAGGAGGGTTGGGAGGTTAATGTACAGTGGCAAGAAAAAGTATGTGAACCTTATGGAATAATAAATTTGTCATAAAATGTGATCTGATCTTCATCTAAGTCGAGGGTATTGACAAACATAATGCGTCCAAAAATAATTTAAAAAAAGATCTTTCATGTCTTTATTGAGAACAATCAAAAAAACCTCATAGTGCTTGTGGAAAAAGTATGTGAACCCTTGAGTTAATGACCTCAAAAAAGCTAATTGGAGTCAGGTTTTAGCACACCTGGAGTCTCGTTAAGATATTAGTTTGGAGGTGTGGACTACAGCTACTTTGACTGATAAAAACCCCTCAAACTTTTGGAGTTTGCTCTGCACAAGAAGAACACGTTTATGTCAGCAATGCCTCACCAAAAAGAGCTTTCAGAGGATCTACGATCAAGAATTGTTGATCTACAATCTACAAATGGAGACACTTTGGTACTGTTGCTACTCTACCAAGACGTGGGCGCCCAGTCAAAATGACACCAAGAGCACAACGAAAGACTCATCAATGAGGTAAAGAAACAACCCCGGATGAAAGATTTGAAGGCATCATTGGAACTTGCTAACATCTCTGTTCATGAGCCTACAATACGTAAAACACTGAACAAGCAGGGTATCCACGGCAGGACACCACGAAAGAAGCCACTGCTTACTAAAAAGACCATTGCTGCAAGCCTGAAGTTTGCAAAAGAGCACATTGACACTCCACAGCGGTATTGGCAAAATGTTTTGTGGACTGATGAAACTAAGATTGAACTATTCGGAAAAAACACACAGCACTACATCTGGCGTAGAAGGGGCATGGCATATCATCATGAAAACATCATCCTAACTGTAAAGTATGGTGGAGGAAACATCATGATTTGGGCCTGCTTTGCTTCATCAAGGCCTGGCCAGCTTGGAATCATTGAGGGGAAGATGAATTCCCAAGTATATCAGACAATTCTTCAGGATAACGTGAGAGTGTCTGTACGTCAGCTGAAACTGTGTAGAAGGTGGGTGATTCAACAGGACAATGACCCAAAACACCGGAGCAAGTCCACAACAGAATGGCTTCAGAAAAACAAAATCCACCTTTTTGGAGTGGCCAAGTCAGAGCCCAGACCTCAACCCAATAGAGATGCTATGGATTGACTGGAAGAGGGCCATACACATGAGACGTCCAAAGAATATGACAGAGCTAAAGCAGTTCTGCCAGGAAGAATGGGCTAAAATTCCTCCTGAACGTTGTGCAGGTCTGATCCACAGCTACAGGAAGCGCCTGGTTGAGGTTATTGCTGCCGGAGGGGGGGTCAACCAGTTATTAATTCTAAGGGTTCACTTACTTTTTCCACTGCCATTTTGAATGTTGAATGAGTGTGTTCAATAAAGACATGAAAGATCTGAATTTTTTTTTTTGTTATTTTTAGACACATTGTTTGTCAATACCCTTGACTTAGATGAAGATCAGATCACATTTTATGACAAATTTATTCAGAAAACAATGAAATTCCAAAAGGTTCACATACTTTTTCTTGCTACTGTAGTTTCTTTATTAGAACTACAAAGAGTATGGTTTCCTTAACAGTGCACCACAAACGCATCATGATGCTGGGAAATGTACCACTCACAGTAAAATGTGCCAGCAGAATCAAAATTAAGTTATTTATATTTTTACATTTTATTAAAGAACATTAAACATTCATTCACACACTGCAATACCCCCAAACTATCTGCCAAAATCTGTTCAATCAACCAGGGTAAATTGAAGCCTAAATAAGGAAGAGGAGGATGGAACGGTAGACACTTTAGCAACAAACAACCCAAATATGAATAAAAATAATGTACCTGTGTCGTGTGGAGTTGCTGTTGTTCTTTGAACCAAAGGAGATGTGATAGGGCACACGGTGTGTGTCAGGAGAAATGCTTATTCTTTGGCAACCTGCCCACTCTGAAACATGACAGAATCAAAACTGATCACATGCTCTGAATTTTTTCTTAAACTTGTAAAAAGAGGCACTGGGTGGAGTGCATGCAAACTACAGGGTGTGTTATTGTTTGGTTACCAATGAGGGGAGCAGATAATCTTTAGAAAAAAGCTGACGTTCACCTGTAATATCGTAGACTTTGCCATCCATACAGGCAAAGTACGTAATACGTAGGCCCAACATGCTGGACTCGGCCCATAGGTCCCCCTCCTCAGCACTATGGCAACGGTTGCATTCGGCACAGAACCGAGCCTCGGCAGGTTCACGATCCATCTCGAACCGCCTGCACACACAAAATAAACAAGACCGGTCAAGGTCTACTACACGAGGCACCATTCAGCTGTGTGTAATACGCACATACAACGTTTGACACTGGTTCAGATGATGATGCTGGGGGTTTAGCGACATACTTGTGTTTGCCTTCGCACTTGGTACACATCATGGTGTTCATGGCTTCCTTCAGGTCATCCTGCAGTTTAGTGAGAAACTCGTTCATGGACTTTGAGAGCTCAGTTGCTGCCATACGCTTCCTGCGTGGGAACGAAACACACTGGTTGGTGATACATGATACACACTGTAAATCAATGTGCAATTTTAGGCCCATAAACCAGAATTATTTCAGAAGAAAATGCTGTAAATCTTAAAACAATAGACCTAAGAAAGGTTCTATTTATTATCCCTATTTCAAGGGGCTCGTTCAGTGGTTAACAAAAGGAGGATGAGAAAAATTTTAAAATAATATTAAATTCTAATAAACGTTAAAAATAATTATTCTTGTATCAGTGTAACTTACAAAAGTTTAAAAAAGCAGGCTACTAAGAAAATGTTTTTGAAGATCTGTTTAAGTGTTATTTTGCTTTATAGGAGTCCTGTGATAAACACTTTTTTGTGTACTCACAACTCATACTCTCGTCGTGTCTCTGGGTTACTGACAATATCCCAGGCAGCCCTCAGTACTTTGAATGCCTCTCCCGCTCGTGGGTGTTTATTCTTGTCTGGATGGACCTGAAAGAGAAAGGACAGAGGAAAAGGTTGCATGAGTAAAGGAGAAAATTTCTGCCTCAGATGCAGTTTGTTAGTCATTAATTCAGGCATCCGATAGCTGGAACTGCACACACACCTGGACAGCCAGCTGTCTGTATGCCTTCTTCAGCTCGGCCTCTGTGGCGTGCACCTCCACACCGAGCACTGTAAAGGGGTCGAGCTCATCCTCTGGTACCTCAGCCAAGGCCAGCAGTCTCTCCAGCTCCTGGCCTGGCTGGCCTCTCCCTGCTCTGCCGGGTGAATCGGGGCTGGACGGTGGCACATGTCCATCCCTCCTAAACTTACTTCTAACTCTCTCCAGCAGGGACGCCACCCTCTTCCAAAACCTGGACTCCTGAAAAGATGTCCAATAGCGTTTTCCCCTCTCTCCACCAAGGCGGACCACCACACCCTTTGCCCACTGGGAACCAAGAATAGCCAAAGCGCAGAAAAGTCTAAAACAAGATAAGGCAGCTGTCTTTACCCACTTCACTGACCGAACAATTTTATCCACCAGGTCCGTTCCTGTGCATTTTGTCCATTTCAGAATCCGACTAGCGTCTGCCTTCATTCCTGCTGTATCTGTGATCTTCACAAACAGCTGCTGCCCAAAGTTGTAAAGTTTCACCCCTCCCGTCTCCACACCGACTCCACAATTGTGAGTTAATGTGACGATAATCTCAATCATCATGTGGACGCAGGAGATGCACCAGAAGCTCACAGACTCCGACAGCATCTCCTTGAAAGCTAAGACGAGCTGGTTGCCAGTCCGCCTGCGGCCTCGGTTCTGCTGATGGTGGTGGTGATTGCGTCTGCGGGCCTGCTTGTGCCGGCCGCCGCTTGACATAACATTGCCTTTCTGAATGGAGGAAAAAGCGCTTTGACCGCTCTGCTCTGAAACCGATCCACTGCTCCTCAGTTTGCATCTCCTTCCGGCTCCCTCGCTCCTCCAACCAGACTCCCCATTCATGTGCTGCTCCTTTGCAGCTTCATCCTCTTCTTGATTTATAACATGCAAGTTCTCGTGATCTGCGGTGCTGTCATGCTCAAACCCATCTGAAGCCTCCTCAGTATCCTCTTTGGCCTCTGTAGATCCACAATACTCTGCTTCACCGATTTCAGAGTCTTGGGGAGTGGCTAAATTTGGGGTGTCCTGAGAATTTAGATCGGCCGTTTTGTCCTCCCGCTCACAGTCATCATTATCGGTCTGTCTGGCCTCCCAATAACTAGAATTGGCCACTGAGGCGGACTCACCATCAGGGATCTCCTCGTCAGTGTCCGTAACGGCATCCATCTCCTTCTCAGCTGCTTCTCTCTCCATGTTCCTTACAGCTGTTTGATTGAAGCGCTGTGAAATCGAAATCTCATGGAAGATGATAGACTAGATCCATAATCTGTGGCAACATTTTCCCCCGACTCTCGTAAAAAAAGTGAGACTGGGGGCTCCTGAGGGTCAGTCTCAGGTCCACCATATCAGCAGCAGCTTCCAGGTGTCAAAAGGCTTTTTACACACCTCACATCATCACCTGCATCAGTTCGGTATCTGAAACAGAAAACAAAAGAGTTCAACCTAATGCTTACACTCACATCGTGGGTAAGCAGAAGGCAATGCTTCTCTCTGTAGTCATTTATATTACAACGCAAGTGAGACAAGAACTAAAACACATTCATGGAAAAACAGGCACAGAAGGTCCATATTGTTTACAGCACGGCAGCTAATAGTTTAATATCTCTGGGTGCTGATAGACCAACGTAGTAAAGAGTCCTTATTGTGAATTATCAATATTTTTTTTAGATATCTAATTCGCTGGATTAGCCACACTCACATCTGGTTATTTAATCTAGATAGTTTCCCAATTGACTTTTCCCCAAAAGGTTTTATCCATGCTGCTCTACAGATCAGAAGAGGTGAATTAATAACTCAATATGGCAACCAACAGAAAATTAATTTCCCACTACATTGATAATCATTTAAGTTAATGATAAAAGTTAACATGCCAAATATTCTCCTTCTATTTACTGTTTCTCTGCTTTATATCATCGTAAACTGAGTAACTTTGAGCTTGCCTTCGGCTAATGAAAACTGTGACACGCATTTTTCACTATTTTCAGAATGTCTACAGACTAAACAGTAAATAAAAAAACAATTGACAGATTAATCAATGGTGAAAACAACAGTCAGTAGCAGCCCTGTGAGTAACATTTGATAATAAACTGACACAATCAAAAGTTTTTACCTTACACCTGCAGCTACCAGTGATATGAAGAGGAGATGATCTGAGCTGAGTTCACCATGACTGTATAACACAGGACTCCACTAATCCTTCATTAATCATTAACTTACATATAACACAGCTCCATCAACATTATCTGTCCGGACCTTATTAAAAGTGCGCGTACATTAAGTGATCAAACTTAACTTTAACACGCCAACTTGTGTGATGGTATAACACAGATTACATTCAGTTAAATTGCTTAGTTGTTTGCTAATTCAGTTAGCCAAAGAACAACAACAACAACAACAACAACAACAACAACGGGCTGCATGAACAAATGTTTGACCTTTAAGACCCGATAAAAAGCGGAAAAACAGCCCATACAACGCGGCCCACACTGCCTGGTGAACAGGCTGACAGACTTAACTTCATATTAATTCAACTCTGACAACAAAACCAGCTGTTTCTCTTTTTTCTTTTTAAAGGCGGCTAATGTTAGCAGGGTGTTAGCATGAGGAAGCAGCCAGCCAACAGGATGACAGACAGACGCTACAGGGGCTAAAATTAGCTTCCCCCCTCTCTGGCTGGCTAACCTCGCAGTATGTCGACTAAACAAGGTCTCAAACGAAGATCACACGACAGCACAGCGGCAAACTGTGAACGCCTTCAGCGAGCAAACAACCACAGCGAGTGTTAGCCGATAACATTAGCGAGCAGCAGTGGCTCAAACATGAACGCCTGTTTCCCCTTCCTGTGGAGGGCTGACGAGTCAACTCAGACATTGTTTCAGACACCGGACGAGTCCAGTGAGGAGGAACAGTATTCAGCATTCATCATATAGAGTCATATATACCTCTCGGATAATTGTGTAACCTTGTTTTGTTAACAGACAGCCAGGTGTCCGTGTTGTGGTTTTTTTTTTTTTTTTTTTTTTTTTTTTATATACCCACTTCTTCTTCTCCTGTTCCTTTTCCTACTTTCTTCCAGTTTCTTCCTTCCTCCTCCTCCTCCTCCTCCCCCTTTCTTCTTCTTCTTCTTCTCCTCAGCTGCTTTCTGTAGTCAAACCACTGAGACAAGACGCTACTGCCACCCACTGATTTATAGGTATATAGTCTATAATTAACAATAACCCTGGACGTTTATTATTATATTTTTATTAAATCAAGTATTATCCTATTTCACGCAACCCATTCTGTTAAATGAGATTTACAGGGTAACACATATCTTTACCTTTTAAATTAATCTCTCTAAATATATATTTAAAAATTGCCCTCAGGATGCTTTAGTAATGCCCAAAGCATTATATATGGCCAAAAGTATTTGGACAAGCCTGTCCATATGGTTTGGACAAGGTCCCTTTGTTTCAATTAGGCCTAAAGTAAATCTTAATTCTAAAATAATCTAATTACTCTCAGCCTGACCATAAATCCAAAACAATCAATTTATTGTCTCATAGTAAAATGATTCTTCAAGAAGACACAGAGACAACACACAACATGTGCTTTGTACGCTGTAAATGCCTCCTACGGTCTCAACAAAGAACAATGTATAGTCTATGTTTAGGATGGACTCTGGGTGACAGGTGGCTTTTACTGCGTTGTGGAAACCTACAACTGCAAGCAAAGAAAAGGTGCTGAATGAAAAGCCAACCACTGATGCAGTCAATCTGTGTGTGGTGTGATGGGAATTATAAAAATAAGGAGTAAGGAGTGATAAAAATGTATGAATTAAAGGTGCATTGAGTTGTGTATAATGGGAGTATTGTCAAATCAAGTCAGATTTTATTTATACAGCCCAAAATTAAGACTCACAATTGTGCCTCAGTGGGTTTTACAATCTGTACAACATTCAACACCCTCTGTCCCAATAAAACTGGCAGTGCAAAGTGCAATAAAACTACATTTGCCATAGTAACAGGCAGTCTAAGCAGTGAGGTTTGCAGATGCGAATCTTGGATGGTCAGAAACATTGAGACATTGATATTTTTTTGCTACCTTATAAGCTTATTTGTGTGAATTGGCCCTTTAAGTTTAAAACAAAACAAAACCTTAACTCTCAGAGTAACGGGACCACTCATCTCCTCCATAAATAAACGGAACAAACACACAGTAAACCCCACATCTGTCTCATCGTGTGAGCCTATAGTGTTCAGGGGGTCTTTCACATGGCAAAACTGTGGGAACCCCCTAAAGCCTCTGCATAAAAGACTAATCTTGAAGACGCAGAGGGGTTAATTTCAAGCCCCCACCAACCACCACCCACATCTCCAATTTGAAAGCCGCCTCTCTACCGGGAGAGGAAGGCTCTTTTTCGGTCAGATGGCGTGCTGCAGTCCGCCCCCGTCATTCTCCAGCCCACACAGACAGGGCAGCCAGCAACCAATACGGTGCGCCGGAGGAGGATTTCTGCCAGTGATTTCAGACGAGCTACGATACGCAAAGGGGATTTACTACGCCAATCTGAGCCGGGGAAGCTTTCGGCGATAGGCAACAGGGTAAGAAACGAACAGGATCACTGCGATGTGACTTTGAGCTGGGTGGTGTTTTTTTTATCGGCTAACATCTGGCTCAGGAATCCGGTCGATGTTTGTGTCTGAACTGGAGACAATAATCCAAGTGTTTTCTACTCTACAGTGGTCTCAGTGTAACGTAGCTTTTTGTCTTACGGATGAAATTAGTTTGTTATGTGTTCAGTTTCAGTCCGGGAGTAACGACCTGTGACATCGGGCGGCAGGAGGGACACCTTCCCGTTATTACGTCTCTGTGCACATCCGTCTACCTGATCTGAGGAAGGTAAGAGAGGTCTATGTATGCTCAACCATTAAGTCATATAAGGGTTTGAAAATACGTAAAAATAGTTCGTGTGTGGAGGAAACTGCTCCAAAACATGCACAAACTTCCTCTAGTCATCAGTTTTTATCAATGCTTTACCAACATAGAAGAATGAGGAGCAGGTAGCCTTTACCAGGTGTGGTCCAGGTGGCAAAATCTTAATCTAAATAAATAACTTGTACAGGATTTTTCCACCTGCAAGTTCATGTCTTTCCTTTCTCCTGCCTAAACTTTCCAGTGCTGTGTGCCATGTCTCTGCCACGCACACTTGGGGAGTTGCAGCTCTATCGGGTGCTGCAGAGGGCCAACCTGCTGGCCTATTATGAAACCTTCATCCAGCAGGGTGGCGATGACGTGCAGCAGCTCTGTGAGGCAGCAGAGGAGGAGTTTCTGGAGATCATGGCACTAGTTGGCATGGCCACCAAGCCACTGCACGTGCGTAGGCTGCAGAAGGCCCTCCGAGACTGGGCGGCGAACCCTGCCCTTTTCAGCCAGCCCGTGTCGAACGTTCCTCTCGGGGGCATCCCACTCTTCAAGGTGGACAGCGCCAGTGGACCAGCAGGCGGGCCCAGGAAGTCTGTGAGCAACGGACAGCCTGGGTCTCCGTGTGAAAGGGAGGATCGTGCGTGTCTTACTCCAATGCACAGTGGGAGTCCAAGAAGCCCCTGCTCCCAGGCCTCCCCACAGCCACCGGACACACACTACAGGGAAAAACTGTCACCCATGGACCCACACTGGCTCAGCCCTGAGCATGATGGGAACTGCACTTTGGCTTCTGCGTCTGGAATAGAGGAGGAGCCACCCAGCCCACCTCTACTCTCAACGTGTCCCCCGGGTCCCTCCACGTCTCCGAGCCCCTCTGCCTCTTTCGCCCCGACGGTCCCGTCAGCCTGGCCCGGAGGGCAGCTGGATGGGGAGACGGCAAGGGCGGTGGTGGAGAGTGTGGAGAGGCTCCTCAGGACCCTGCCCAGGTCAGATCCTGCAGAAGTAAAGACTTTGCTTAGGATGAACAAGAAGATGGCAAAGACTGTGGGGCACATCTTCAAAATGGGGTCCCAGGATGTGAACAAAGAAGAAGAGATCCGGAAGTACAGTCTCATTTATGGACGCTTTGACTCCAAGAGGAGAGAAGGGAAGCAGCTCACACATCATGAGGTAAAAGCACCAAAGACAAGAACAAAGATTGAGTATTTGAATGTCTCACATCACATTTCGTACCTACAGTAATCTGTTGGTAAAGGGAGGCTCACGTTGTGAACCAGCTTTAATCAGACATAAATATACATTTCAAAACAAAAGTATGCCATATCTCTTTTGTCTGCATGTGATTTTCACAGTGTCCATCCCTCCTTCACTCAGTGCTTTTCCTCCTCAGTTGATCATCAATGAAGCTGCAGCCCAGTTCTGTATGCGCGACAATGCCCTTTTGCTGAGACGGGTGGAACTCTTTTCTTTGGCTCGGCAGGTGGCGAGAAAATGTGCCTACACCTCCACACTAAAGCATGCAAGGTAGGGGCGCTGCCCAGAGAGGATCTGCTCACTAGCAACCAATGACCAACACACCTCACAACTGCTGCGTCTTGATTGCTCCTCTGTATCGAGGAGAAAACCTCTTAGAGAATCAGGAGTGTCGTTTTTTTTATTCTTTAATGTAGATTAAAGCAAAGTCTGAACCCTTCACAGCAACATGGCAGAGTAGCATCGCGTTATAAAAAGACACATCTGAATAAATGTAAATGAAATTATTTCATAGCTGTATTTAGCATATTCTACATGTACCATGTGGTTTATATGAGTCATCTTCCCACCACTTCATTCATTTTCACAATGAACCTGGTTCAGATCACAGTGGGAATTAAACTCCAACCTCTGTAGTGTTAGTATAATGAGCTGGAGATTGGAGCCATACAGGAATACACAAAACCTTCACTGTATGTGTTTGTTCAACATTGTCATATGATATAAATGCCCCTCATAATGAGTTTATTGCAGGAAGTGACAAGAAAGCACAGACTAAATATTTATAAAACTACTCATTAAGTTATCATAGGATATAACATTAATTATGATTAGTGATTCCAATGTCCTTGTTTAACAGTGTCTTCATTCCTGATCTTATTAAATTTGTCTTAAAAGTCTTAAAAGTCAAATTATTAAAAAAAAATAAAGACAAAAGTTCCCTTTGTGCTCATTACCACATGGCATTCAAATATTTAACAGACACACATCCAAAATATACATTTGCGTACAAATAATTCTGATAAATACATAGTTTATTTTAGTTAAAATGATCTACATGGTCATTTACAAGTTGAATAAAAGTTACATTCTGTGTGATTTCTTGTCTCTTGCTGCATCTGGTGCAAAAAAAGATTGGCTTGATTTGACAAAAGAAAATCTTGAATCAAGGTCCATTAAGTCTGAGCCTGTAACTTTCGACTGTTGAGGAAGACCTTGCAGTTAAAAAGCTCTACAGAACAAAAGCTCTTCAATTGACCTTCAGTTTTTCATGTCATTTTCAACTGACTCACCTGTTTTCCTCCTGCAGGACAAATGCAGATGAGAACAGCGTACTGTCCCAGAAGAGAGCAAGATACGAGGTGAGACTTCTTACTGATCTATGTGTGATTCCAACACACAACACAGTGTGTAAACATAGCCAAAGTTCACATCACTTGCCAGTAATTTAAAGTAATTTCATCGGCACTAAATTGACAGTGATGTTTTAGATAATTGTGCCTGAGAGCGTGTCATCACTTCTTGGAGTGGAGGGCTCGGAGGGCTTGAACCAGCGGGGAGATGATGACAGCTTATCTGCAGAGAGCCTCGACAGTGTATCACATGGTAAAGACTTCACATTTATGTTTATTCTCTGAGCTCTCAGATGAGCAGATCATTGTCTCGTACTCCAGACATTCTTCCTGCCTGTTTCTATACAACCTTAGTGTTTGAAGACAGCATTTACACCCAAATCTGTCTGTCCTGTTAGACATCGGCTCACAATGCAACCAGTCTC